TTGATTTCTCCATTATCTCGGAAACGGACGCTTTTAACTTTCTAAATAATATTAAAATTCTTGCAGAATTTGTACCGGATTTAGCAAATTTGGATACTACTGCTTTTAATCCCTCGGTAAAAACATATATTGCTGCTCTTCTTCAAATTTTATCGCTTTTGTCAAATTTTCTACAATTTTTGTATACGGAATTGGACAATTTAAACCATTTTCATAATCATGTTTTACCAGCTGACGTTTTAACATTAATCAGCGATGCCCCGTGCATAAATCCTTCTAAGCAAGAAAAACTATCTATCATATCTGTTCGACGTTCAAAAAAAGGTATAACTGCTCTAGTAGAAGTCCATCAATTTCTGAAAACGATTAAAGTCTCCCCAGTTGTACCTGTGCCATTAATGGGTCACACTTTATCCTTTCAAAACATTTATCTAAATAATATGAATTCTCTAATTAAAATAGACTGCCCTCCTGATACTCTAGACTCATGTCTAATATCCAGTTATGACTCAATATGTCAACAAGCCTTGCAAGGAGATAATGTTGAAAATGTCCTAGACAAATGTACTTTTGAACCAAATCCTATTAAAGTTCCAACAATTATTAAGTCAGGAATCTTGCTCCCTTTTCCAATGCCCACTAACCCTATGGAACAAACACCTTTTAATTTCAATCCTCACTTAAAACCAAATATGCCTGTCCTTATAAAAAATAATGTGGGTGTCCAAATCTCTACACCCATTGGACTTATTTCCTTCGCAGCAACTTCTACCCTTAATAGTGTCGAGCAAATACTTTTTACTGATGAAGAATTTTCTCTTATACAAGAAAAATTTGGAAATTTTCTCTTTTACAAACATCCTATTTTTATCGCAGTTATTGTTATTCTTATAATCTGCATATTAACATTAACCGGCTATGGTACCTATAGACTTCGTTTAAAACGAGCTTTCCGTCCTATTCTTAAAGAATCAAGGATGCCAGTCAACCTGTCCATCCCGCTTTCACCTGCCGTACGATTTCAACCTCATTAAACTGATTAACCTAATATATATATGTTGTAGGTCACAGCTACATGGTTCGTCTATGGCACTTGCATTTGTATCTCTGCACTCCTCATCTTGAACTACTGCTTGATTTATAAATTGAACCTTGCTGTGCTCAACATAAAAAGTTGCGCTTAAACAGTTTTTTTTTCTTGTTGGTGCGATATTCCTAAATTTTACTTTGCTGTTTTAAAACATATTATAATATGACATTTTTTTTAAGATCTCGTTTTTAGTACTATCAAAATCTCCCAATCCTAGAAAAAAAACTTTCTAGACTGAACGATCTTTTTCACATTAAATTTGAGCATATTTTGTAGTATGTAAGACTTTTACTTTACAGTTAGCATGCTTAGCTATTTTGCATTTACAGATGAGTAGTTTGTAAGTTTTTCTCATAAAAAATTAAATTAAAAAAAAAAAAAAAGCAAACAAAAAACAAATATATTTTTTTTTTTTAGGATATAAGGAATTTTATGGAACTTTTCAATGATTATGACATGATATACAATGGCGCTGTCATGGACTTCAATAGTTGTGTGTCACATCAAATAATTTGAAATAAATGCTAAACTTGTACTTTTTCTTTGTATGAAAATACATCAATTCTACCAAGCATCTTTTCCTTGTAATAAACGATCATTTATTCCGCAAAATAATTATACATCCATGCCGGTCACGTTTTCCTTATACTCTCCCTTTTTACTGTCAAGTTTTGCTTACTTTTCAGTTTTAAAACAATTCATTAAATTCGTTATTGCAAAACTCTACAAATATTTTATTACTCCAGCTGATTAAAAGTTATTCAAAACGCATGGGACTCGTTGGTCGTTTTTCTTGTTTGCGATTAAAGATATATTCTTTGGAATACTAATAACAAAAACTCATTTCTGTTTTTAAGTATTTGATAAAATATACACTTTCTTTAAGATTACGTCCTCTGAAACCTCCAGTACATATTAATTCTTCTGGTTTCTTTCCCTGATCGATAATTGAATTTTTAAAGAGAAAGATTAATTATTTCAAATTAAAACTTTAACATAAACAAGTTTGAAAATAAAGAAAACGTGCTCCATACTGCTATATATTACTGTCAACATATTTGTTTCATTCAATAACTCGAATCATTAAGAGTTTTTAATGATCCTATTATGATCTTTCAAATTAAGGGACACTGTTTGAAAAACGTATTAGACAAACTCTATCCTCATTTTCAAAACTCCAATATTAATGCAAAATCGGCCTCTTTTCCATTAATTAAACCATAAACGACATTTATGCAGCGTAAACAGACCCTTTTTTGACTAGCATTACAAACAATATTTGTGCAGTAGGAACAGACCAATTTTCTTCCTTGATTATCAATAAACAGTGTTTGTGCAGTGTACACAGACCCATTATGAAAAATATATCTTCGAGGAAAAATTTGGAGAAATTAAAATCTTAATTTATTGTGTTAAGTCTTAAAATACGGAAACTTTAAAGAGACCCATAATCGTGCTTAGCTGCAAATTAAAGGTTTCATTTCTTCACTCTAAACTAGTCAAAATTCGCAATTTTTTTTTACATGAAACGTTTTACTCCCCCAACTTTTCATTTTGGTAATGAATTTTCAATGTGGCAAATAAACCTTCCCAAACTATTACAAAACAACTATTCCTGTATGAACGAAACTTCATTTTTAATTTGCCTGTCTTTCGTTCCATATAAAGAACTAATATTCCAATACAGTCTTCAAAATTTTTAGGCCAAACTTTTTATCCCCTTAATATTTATTTTCCCCCATTATAAATATGCACATACTGTAGGTAGTAACTTTATTTCAGAATAAACATTTTTGTATAAATCAACTGAATTCCGTATATTTTAGGCTTATTTTATTCTTTATCTTTGCAGGGTTTAAATTTTCTGTCTCTTATTTCACCCTTTTTTCCCCCCTTCTTTATGGTAAGTGGGACTCTTTTTCTCAACCTTTCTTTTGAATTAATATACATCAAACTCTAATGATTGTATAACTCACTTTTTAAGCCAATTACTTCCAAATGAATAAGTTTTAAACAATAAATCCCCAATTTGCCATTCTATTGCTAAAATTCTTTTAAGAACAAATAAATATTGCCCCCCACATTTCTCAAAATTTAAACCGTGCAACCCTGGATTTTTGTGTCGAGTAGATCTCCTCAGCTCGTCTACATTAGGCCTGACAAAACAATATTTTCCATTTCTTTTCATATATTGGCTTTTTCACAAGACCAGAAATTTGAGAATTTTCTTTAACTTTTTCAACTTTCAATGCAAAAATGCGGATTTTTTTTTTACCTCTTCTTCTTCGGAGTCTTCTTATCCTTCCCACTAGTTGTGCCAGATGCTGAACCCTGGGGACTAGAACTTGCTCCCACAGCAGCAGGTCCTGGTAAATCGAGCACCGCAGTCTCTGCATCAGAAGTCCCAACCATCACAGTCCCATCATCAGTCTCATTATCAGAAGGACCACCTGTCCCAGTTCCAGTGTCAATATCAGTATCAGTAGAACCAACCATCACAGTCCCCGCATTAGTCGTAGCATCAAAAGACCCATCTGTCACAGTCCCAACGTCAGAAGTTCCAACTCCAGCATCAGCAGAATTAACACCCGTTTCAGCAACAATGACAAGACCAGAATTGGAGGAGCAGGTAGCACTTGCAACATCCTTACGCCCACTTGCAGCATACACCGTCACCGGGTTCTCTACCACATCAGCAGCTTTCTCAATAGGAGCTGATTTTGCCGACACTACAATATCTGTACACACAGGCTGTCTCACGGCCGAGCCACCCATCCCCGCACCGGTACTTTCTGGAGCTGCAGTCTCCACGGCTACAGCAGTTTTCTCCACGGAAATTTTATCTTTGACCTCTGACTTAGCCTTGCCGGGAGGTTGTTTCACAGTCCCCACTCCAACCCCACGACTAGCTGCATCTTTCTGAACCGGTTTCTCCACAGTCCTAGCTCCCTCCGAGGAAATATCTTTACAACCTGGATTTTTCACGACTACGCCTCCATTCCCGTTACAATTAGCACCAGCCAAGGGGATGCTCTTGATTTCGGGTTTCCTATCTGACGACTCCGGCACAGATCCGGATACCGGGTAAGTTTGTCCTTTCTCCAGATCTTTTAATATGATATTCAGGTTCTTTCTCAGCGTTTCACGTGTATCCTCTTTCTCCTAAAATGATATAGTTTATTCATGACTATGCTGCACAATTGCTTATTATCCGCACCTCCTCAAATTTTTCAAAAACACCTTATTTTGCGAGTTATCCCACATTTCATGCACTTCACGTATATGCTATATATATATATATTTAACGGACTTTCCAACTTTCACTCCCATGACAAAAGAAACAAAAACCATTTCTGTCAAAAGGTCAAACACATAAAATAAACTCGTACACTGTCCTCCACATTGCAAAATAATTTTTTTGAAAGGATCATCGAAGTGCCTTTTCTTTTGCTTAAACAAAAAAAACTTTCAATAAGCAAACTATTGGTTCTCCAAACAAAACAAACAATTTTTTTTAAGAGAAAATTCAAACTTCAATTTTCGACATCGGGTTTTCTTACAAAGAAATATGCCTTCTTTTCTATTTTTTTAAATATTCATAAATGTTTCCCAAAATCATGTAAACCCCTACACAAACTTTTTAGACAGGAAATTTCAGACAACTATACAACGAATCAAACTGATGCAGACAACTAAACAATCCAAATATATATATAAACCCTCTAGCACACAATACTGTTTTTCTGTCAACTAATTTTACCTCTTCCATGACTTCGTCCTCTGCACAGCATTGCACCAGAAATCTAGGTACCTCTCTCATAAGGGTCCAAACCCGCTTAATCCTTTTGTGCACACGGCAAATCCTACATAAAAAGCACCAGTAAAATACCTATTTTTATCTTTAAACAAAGAATTTTTTCTAGGAGTCGTGTAAACTTATTCTAATACTTAATTTATCGGTCTCATTCATTATTGAACATTCCACGCTTTTCTTTACAATTATGTTTCTACCTTATAACATTCTTCTCAAATATTTTTTATTACAACCTTTAGAACTTATCACAAAAAAACATACCTCTTTGCTTGCCACACACATAAGCCCCCTGTCACCAGCACACTTACTATAAACACCACTACGGACACCTTCACAACAGGCAACAGGCAATTAGGAATCGGGCACTCTGGAGAATTCAACTCTCCCAGCTGAGAACTCAATACTGCTCCAGGGAGGGGAGGAGGTGATCTCATCTGCAAAATCATTAAGGTTAGTATTTGAAAACAAAAATACAATTCTTTTTCGCCAACAACAAAAACCAAACTGGAGAAAAATAATTCATATCATTTTTTCCTTAACTAAAATTTTTTACATTCTTTTAGTCCCTCACTGTGCCCCCCTTCTTTCTTTCTCCCCTCTTATTGATTTAGCACATGCCTGAATTAATATTTCTTTACAAGGGTTTCATTTTAAAAAATTCAAAACAAATATCTATGCTTTAAATAATTTTTCTAGCTTCAATATTCTTTTAAAATCGGTTTTTATTGCTATATTTAACAACTTTTATAACGCTCATCACTCTACCATCCCATATTTTACGATACACACGCACCGCTAAATCTGAACTAAAAATGTTTTACTTTCCCCATTAACCTTTTCATATTACCTATTTCTATATCTACCAAATACAATTACTTTATCCTTCGTTAATTTCATTAAAATACTTTATTTTCCTGTATTTAATTACCTTGTAGATCTTCTGCTGCCTACCCGTCTGTGAATAATGGATGTTCAACCGGAAATGGGATCAGATTCCTCTCCTCTAGCCGGCTGGATGCTCGGTGCAGGCATCACACCACTAAACTCTACCACATGTTTCTACTTATTACATTATTTTTGTGTTCTTGCCACGAACATCCCCTCAAAATTTTTTTTAAGTAAAGAATAATTTTTAATATTTAGAAAAACCTTATATTTTACCAGATACGGCAGCGCAATACTAAACTGTGAACTTGTGTTCCCTACAGGGTGTCATTTAAAATTTTTCTCATAAGTTTTTATTATCAACCCTCGAATTTTTCTTAACAGAATAAATTAGTTAATGCAATATTTTTTTTCTTTAAGAACACTCAAACATTTACCGTCCCTGTTTAATTAACATTCTTCCCGCCAAATTCCCGCTCGCTCCCTAAACATTCGGTTTTTCTCGGGAACTTGCATATTTTTACTAACTTTGCGGGGAACTTGCAACAAAAAACTTTAAATTACTTTCACACAAGATGATTATTATATGCTTTCCCATTTTATTTTAAAAACAACAAAATATATTATTTCATTATTTTTTTTTAAGATCACATATTAATTAATATACTGAAAACGCTAATCACTCTTTAAATAATCTTTCAATACCTTTTTTAAATCCTTTGGTTATACATATAAAGCGAATAAGCAAAATAATTTAAAGCAAGCAATGTTTTTCATATTTTCGGTATTGAGTAAGCTCTCTGAATAAAGTTAAAACCTGAACTTTGCGAAATTTTTTTAAGCTTCGGTCTCCGCAGTGAAAGTGGACAAACGTGTTCCGTCCATAGGAATATTCCAATTAGGAACTTCGTAGTAATCATCAGACCTACGCAACCCCTCTCCTGTAGGTAAATTTCCGGGGGAAATTATTGCATTATTCATCTCAACAGGATTTCTAATTATAGGCAAAGGTATATTCTCAATTCGAGCTCTCCTCCTTTGATTCCTTCTTTCCTTTATAAACATCCACATTTTACCTAAAAATTACATAAAGTACGCTTTCACTCTTTTCCCCCAATTAATTAATTATTCATACTCACCCATATACGTCACAAGCCTCCAAACCAACCACAATAGAGCAAACATTATCAACCACAAACCCCAATATTCCAAGACAGCGTTATTCCATCTTTTCAGCAAATCGCCGATATCCCATACACCTTCATCCAGTTTGCTACTTCCATCCCCGACATCCGCAGTTCCAAAATCTATGTTGCTATTAGCGTCGGTTTTTGCTTCAAAAAATTCCAACTCAGATTGCATCTTTTCAATTTCCAACTCAGTTTCCGCATCATCAAAAGATTCCATCTCTTCCCGGCTCAGAATATTCTCCACGTTCATACTTCTATATTCCTTCTTTGCTATATCTTCTATGGTTGTAACAACCTCAGATGTACTCTTGGCCTGATACATTTCGGTGGTAGAAGATGCGGTCTTTTCCTGCTCGTACAAATTGAAATCTACTCCCAACATCGTGCGCTACTTATACACTAATTTCAGGTAACTTTTGTTTTTTGGGGGTTATTCTTCGAACAAAAACAAAAAAAAGACAAACAAATCAATTTTTTCTCCTTACTTTTAAAATTTTTTCCTTTCCAAACTAAGTTTCTAAATTTTCAAAAGTTTCCTGTCTCTTGACAATTTAAGATCCCAAATATGTAAATTGTTGTTGTCGCGGGGAGGACCCTATATGTACTAGTAATGTACATAGTTTCTAGCTGCCTAAAGCTATCATTTCTAGGTTATATGTTTTTCAATTGCAGACGCCAGAAATAAGAGAGCCTGTCAACCTTATCAGGAAGGCAGAGTTTTTGTTTAATTTTTTTAAAAAGAGAAACACTCAAAAAAAGAAAAACACTTTTTATTTTAATCAAAAATACAATGATTAAAAATGTTGTTTATTGGAATAAGTGTATTTCACAACATGCACAAGAAGTAAAACATATTAAAAAATTGAATCACTTCTTCTTTAACTGTAAAAAATGTTCAATTGCAACTTTTCCTCATTCTGTCCTTTCATTACAAACAATTTGCATAAAGCATTTGCATGTAAATATTTCAATACAAACCAAGCTGAGAAAAAATATGAGACATTTTGATTATACAGGAGCTAGAGATGTAATTAAGATTTTAAAACTGCCAAACTTTTTAATTAAAAACCTTTTAAGACATAATAGATTATGTAAAATACATGGAAATAATGCATTTTATGAAATATCTTGTACTCACACAAACAATTTTGTATACTTAAGGAAAAATTCCCCATTATATGAAAAACTACTAAAAGATAAGACTTTCAGTATAGCAGAGTTGAACAAATATTATAAGAGAAGGAATTTAATCGGAATGATAAAATTTAAATATCCAGAGTATGATAATGAGCAATTACTGAGAAATATCATTCCATTGCTTAAAATAAGTCTGGAATTTTCAAATAAAATTATTTAAACCCCCCCCCACCAAACTTTTTCTCTTATCCTGTAACAATAATTGTATAAACGTAATTTGAGCTTGTATATATCTATATATATTTGTGCACGATATACAATATCAATATTTATTTTCTCCTTTCCAGAATGAATATTCCAGCAATGTTGGATCTGGTCCAACATCTTTTACAAATCAATCATAGGAAAATCCATAAAACAGAACTATCGTCAACAGACTCTGGAGTAAATTTTGTTAGAAATTTCAGAAACAAATTTGCTTGGTTTACATCTACCCGGGATCTCCAAATTTTCATCATATCTAAAGACAAACCTGAACCTCTCATTTTTGGTGATAACTCGGATCTAATTGATTTCCTCCCTTCAATAACCTTTTTCCTGCATAAACAAGAAACCTATGCAGTTATAGATTATAACAGTGATAAGCCAGCCATAAGAATATCCAGTAACTTATTTCTGGGCTACACAGCTCCAAAAACTTTTACTGAGTGCTCACAAGAACACTTAGCTAAACATGATTACAGAGCATCAGATTTAGCTCGCGTTCAAGAGATGAGTCTAGAGCAGCTACACCTGTTCATACCCAAAGTGCTGGGACCAACAGTGGCACAGGAGAATGTAATTATGTTCCAAAAAGCATTGGTCCAGGTATAACACTTTTTTTTTAAATGAAAATTATAAGAAAAAGAGAGAAAAAAAATTTTCCAGTAAAAGACAGAAAAGGTGTAGAGGGAATATTATGTATATGAAAGAAATTCATAACAGTTTCTAACTCTAATTATAATTTCATGCTCAAAGAAAAGAGTTGGAGAAAAGGAAAAATCAACAAATGGAATGTGAAGAAAGTGAATAGTTATAAGAAATCTCCAGGCTCCATCTTGAAACTCCTTCTCATGCCCTTAGGAGTTTAAGGAAGGTTGGAGATTATGGAGAAAAAACTACTAGTTTACCGAGGAAAGAGGTTCTGAAGTCTCCGAGGCCGATTAAACCTCGGAGACCGGAGAATGTGGATCCAGAGGTTCTGAAGTCTCCGAGGCCGATTAAACCTCGGAGGCCGGAGAATGTGGAGCCAGAGTTTCTGAAATCTCCGAGGCCGATTAAACCTCGGAGGCCGGAGAATATGGATCCAGAGTTTCTGAAATCTCCGAGGCCGTATAAACCTCAGAGGCCGGAGAATATGGATCCAGAGGTTTCATCCTCCAAGGTTGGAGATTGTGAAGCCATAGAGTATGAGTTGGGAACCTTCAATATCCCACACATAATCTGAATTATGGATTTTTCTCTAACCAATCAGAATGAACTCTATACAACTTTTTGAATATTTGTTTTTCCTTTTTCTAAATTAGGAGAATCTTGAATGAATGCTAGGTATTTAAGCTTTGCTTGACTCACTTTAGGGTCAGTTCATATAATCCATTTGGATAAGTTAATTCAACAGTTAAAGATTTCATTCAAGAACTCCATTGTTGTAAGTACTTTTTCCTTGTTAATTAATATTTGCTATCTTTGATAACTATTATCCAGAAAGTTTATAATCTTACACTCTAGTTGTCTGTCCCTTTAATATCTCAGCTTAACGGTGCTATGGAAACGCCTCAACACGGAAACGTCTCAACACGGAAATGCCTCAAAAAAAAGCGGAAACCCCTCAAAAACCGGTTTTTTTGAGACATTTCCGCAATTTCTGCAAGAAAAACGGAAATCCCTCAAAACCCAGTTTTTGAGGGGTTTCCTCTTTATTTTGAGGCGTTTCCCAAAATTTTTGAGGGGTTTCCGCTTTTCACCTGACAATTATTTTTTGTAATAAGCGATCGTTTATTCCACAAAATAATCGTAGATATCATGCCGATCACGGTTTCCTTGTACTCCCCCTTTTTACTGTCAAGTTTTGCTGTACTTCTCAGTTTTAAAACAATTAATTAAATTCGTTATTGCAAAACTCTGCCAATATTTTATCACTCCAGTTGATTACAACTTATTCAAAACGCATGGGACTCGTTGGTCGTTTTTCTTGTTTGCGATAAAAAATATACTCGCTCTTTGAAATACCAATAACAAAAATTCATTTCTCTTTTTAAATATTTGATAAAATATATACTTTCTTTAAATTACGTCCTCAAAAACCCCGAGTACATGTTGAATCTTCTGGTTTCTTTCCCTGGTCGTTGATTGAATTTTTAAAAGAGAAAGATAAACATTTCAAATTAAAATTTTAATTTAAACAAGTTTGGAAATAAAGAACACTTGCTCCATAATAATCTATATTACCGTTAATATAATTATTCATCAATACCTGGAATCAATCAGTTTTTTTTTAATGATCCTATTATGATTTTTCAAATTTAAGGGACACTGCTTGAAAAACGTATTAGACAAACTCAATACTCATTTTCGAACTCCAATATTAATGCGAAATCAGACTCAATTCCATTGATCAACACTATAAATGACATTTGGGCAATGTAAACAGACCCATTTCATTTGCTTAGCATGTTGAACATTTAAATTAAATTTCTTTCTTAATTCTTAGTTTTGTCTGAACAATGATAAAACAACTTATTATTGCTAAAACAAAACAATTACTGTATTGTGTAAATTATAAAAATCTAAAAGATATTTCCTTTAACGGACCACCTCTTATACTAATAATAAGACAAAAACAAATTTTGCTAAAGCTAGATCATTAATTTCTTTCATGTCACACTAGCTGTTATAACCGCTTTAGCATCGTTTTAGTGAGTTGTGTTATTTCAACACCACAGTATTAAGGGATTATGTCAGTTTTTTATCTCCTAAAACGAATTTTTGACAATACCTTGATATTTGACAAAATAAAAATAGTTTTGTTCTCAATATTTATTGACCATCATATTTATAGACATGATAAATGGTTATTCTCCACACGCGCAGTAACTACAGAAACTTAAGTGTAAATTTTCTTAAAAATTTCAACAAGTAAAATACTCATTGCAAGTCAGGGCCAAAATTAAATAACTGGGAAAACGATATTAAAAGACTGATTAAAAGACATGTATTTAACAGTCTTTTAAAAATATAATCATTGGATAATTTTTAGTCTTAAATATTTGCATGGTTTCATTTCACCGTTTCCCCCGCGTAGTCCTCAACTTTTCCGCTGTTATTTTTGTGCAATATAACAATCCTGATAACATTCACAAGGGATCCATATTTTGCTTTTCCTTTCCTAGTGTAGCATCCCCCTTCGGTATCTTGGTCTTGGGATCATGCTCTGTTGCTGCATCCGCGGAACACCCCGGTAGATCTATATCCTTCTTTAGTGCAGCATCCTCCTTTAATGCATCAACAATAGCCGATAACCCCTTTGCCACACTTACAGCAACAACAGGTTTAGGGGAGTTTAAATCAACCTCCTCCTTCTCCGTGTTCACCTTACTAGCAGGCTTCTCTATGGAAATTTGAATATTAGAATCCACCGAATCCTCCTTCTGTGTCAATTGCTTGGACTGACCCACTCCATCACCCTGACCAAATACAGAGCAAGGGTTGGGATTCGCACCATTAGTAACTTCCGCACCTGATATATTCCGTCCCTGCTCTAGCTCTCTCAGTATAACGGCTATACTCATTCTAAGTGCGGCTTCCTGATCCTCCGGCTCCTACAATTTTGAAAATTTGTTTACTTGCAAACCCTCCCGATTCATAAATGTATTCTTTTTATAAACCCTCAAATAACAAAAATTCATTTCAGGGGTAAATATTTAATATTCCCGTCCCCTTTGTTGCTACAATTTAAACTTTAAACCACTGTCTTGAGGACAACTTTTAGACAAATATTCACTATGAGTCTATTACACAATCTAAAAGAAATTTTGTTTTAACAAACTCTAACAACACTTTTGTAAATAAGTTTGTATTTAAACTTCTGCCACCTATATAAACCTTTAATTTCATCATGTCTTTCCCCCCTATTTAAACTTTAAATTAATTGCAGATGAAATTTCAAATAAAATACCAATAATTAACATGATGTAAATTTTAATAGAGAACATTTTGTCAAAATAAAGGACATATACCATACTATGGGCATCTTTCTATGATTCGTCATTTTATCAAGTTCTAACAATAAAATTTACAGTTAATTATTCGATATTTCTACATTATAGGTTTCTTTTCATAAAAACTCTCCAACCAATATAAACTTTTTACCTCTACTCTAGCATCCGCATCGGTACAACACCTCGACAGAATCCTTGGAAATTCTCTTAACAAGATGTACAGCCTCTGAATCCTTTTCTGCAGTCTCGTAATCCTAAAAAAAAAAAAAAAAAAAAATGATCATAATTTACTTTATTCTCCCGTCACTAGTTGACCAACTTTTTTTGTCTCCCCTTCAAATAAACTCTACAACCATTTTACTTCATCTCAATAATTACATGTTTTCTTTTCTCTCCAATAGAAAATGTAAATATTCAGAAAATGTAAATATTCAATAAAAATATTTACCTATCACACTGCCAAACACATAGACACAGGGTTAGGACAACACTGGCCAAAATCGTCCACAAAACGCTCTCCAACACGGGCATCACGCAACTCTGAACGGAACAACTTGGGGAACCATCCTCCAAAAAACTTGGGGAACCATCCTCCAAAGAACTTAAGGCCCCAGGAAGGGGAGGAGGTGATCTCATCTATAAAAAAAAAAAAAAATTAAAGTATAGTATTTGAAAACAAAAATACAATTCTTTTTCGCCAACAACAAAAATCACACTGGAAAAAAATAATTCATATCATTTTCCCTTAACTAAGCTTTTTATTTACATTCTCTTAATCCCTCACCGTGCCCCCCTTCTTTTTTTTCCCCCCTCTTATGGATACATGCTTAAATTAATATTTCTTTACAATTGTCTAATTTTAAAGGATCCAAACAAATATCTAGGCTTTAAAAATTTTTTTCTAGCTTCAACATTTTTTAAATCGGTTTTTTTTGTTGATATATTTAACAGTTTTTAAAAAAAACGCTCATCACTCTACCGTCCCATGTTTTACGATACACACGCACCGCTAAATCTGAACTAAAAATGTTTTACTTTCCCCATTAACCTTTTCATATTACCTATTTCTATATCTACCAAATACAATTACTTTATCCTTCGTTAATTTCATTAAAATACTTTATTTTCCTGTATTTAATTACCTTGTAGATCTTCTGCTGCCTACCCGTCTGTGAATAATGGATGTTCAACCGGAAATGGGATCAGATTCCTCTCCTCTAGCCGGCTGGATGCTAACAGCAGGTATCACACTACTAAACTCTACCACATGNTATTTACTATCTTTGATAAATATTATCCTGAAAGCTTATAATCTTGCACTCTAGTTGTCTGTCCCTTTAATATCTCAGCTTAACAAATAGATATCTTTATAGATTTGTGTTGAATGTATAAACTATAATTATATATATATATATATCTATTCCTATATTGCTGTAATGTTGACTCTAACTGTACAATGAGAACCTCGAATATTTAATAAATACACTTTCTTTTTAACATCATCTATTCAGGATTATTTTAACCAAGACTTTTTTAACTATTAGAAAGGTGAAGTAAAGTTTATCAGATATCTGGGATTAAGGGTAAATTTTTAGAGATATTTAACAAGAGGTTTAAGTCTTTCAACAGTGTTACTAAGTAGAATTACTCAGAGATTAGAGTTTGAGACAGTGTTATTATTATTATCATTATAGCGTGGCGCTTTTATTTAATTCCATCTAATAAAAGTTTATGGCGAGCATCCTAGTGGAATTCAGAAGACATTGAGAAGATATAATCACATTATTAGGAAAAAAGTTAATTTTTATTGGTACATTTTTGAGAAGAAAGTACAGCTGGTACAATACTGCAACTCTATTAAATAATTTTGTACTCTATTGTGTCAATCCTTTATGAAAATTTTAAAATATAAGTCTAAAAAAATGTTTAAGATGTTAAAAAATTAAGTATTTTTAGATCTTACACAAGTTGATTTACTTCTTCTGGAAAAAGCTCTAATATTCATTATTATCTATTTATCCATAGTATTTTAACTTAAGAAACTGTTATAAAATTGTCTCAGTGCATACACTTTTTCAATCATGCCACAACAACATTCTGAAGGTTTTTACTAGAAGGACGTTAAAAATAGCATTGATAAAATAAATGAAGCATTTAAAAAAAATAAGAGCCATTGGCACATTACGACCTTTTAAAGCCGTTCATTATGCGGTTGTTCAGACAGCGAACTTTTCAGGTAGCGCTTCGTTCTTATAGATAATAACTTAAATGTTTTCTGTTAGTTCTTACAGTAATTGTTCTTTAAACAGTATAAACGAAAAATATTTTAGAACCTGTTAACGATTATTTATGCAAAAATAACAGGGAAACTTGAGACACGTTTTAAAAAATGAAATGCAGAGAAAAAATCATCAAAACACATTTTTTTTATTTTTGGGAAGTTTCATGCCTTTTTAAGCTGGAAAAATTATTACACATCCATTCTTAGTAAATCAAATCTTCCTAAAAACCAAGAAAATTCTGAGGCAAAAGTTTAAATTCTGACTGGCCTATAAAAATTCTCTTGCATGGAGTCATGAGAGTTGCCGAAAAAAAATATATTTCTCATCCCAAACTAACCTGATAAGCATGAAGGGTCATTCTCAGTTCATCTCTAACCCTCAACAGGAGAAGTCCTCTCTCAGTACAGTTAATTGTGGACTGTCTGATCAGTTCATCAAAACATTGAGCATATAGTTCACGTCGAGTCTAAACATTGAGCATATAGTTCACATTGAGTATAAACATTGTATATAGTTCACATTGAGTATAAACATTGAGCATATAGTTCACATTAAGTATAAACATTGAGCATATAGTTCACATTGAGTATAAACATTGAGCATATAGTTCACATTGAGTATAAACATTGAGCATATAGTTCACATTGAGTATAAACATTGAGCATATAGTTCACATTGAGTATAAACATTGAGCATATAGTTCACATTGAGTATAAACATTGAGCATATAGTTCACATTGAGTATAAACATTGAGCATATAGTTCACATTGAGCATATAGTTCCCATTGAGTATAAACATTGAGCATATAGTTCACATTGAGCATATAGTTCCCATTGAGTAAAAACATTGAACATATAGTTCACATTGAGCATATAGTTCCCATTGAGTATAAACATTGAGCATATAGTTCACATTGAGCATATAGTTCACATTGAGTCAAAACATATTGCATATTGCTGAGGTCAAGTCTAAACATAGAGCTATTGATTATTATATTAAGACTTAAAAATACAATAGAATGAAGTTATTTTTGTAGAAATAATATTAGATTATGTAACCGTAATGTAACATAATGATTAAACGTAAGTAATGTTAGTGGATTTGCAGGGTAAATTTTCTATTTCTTCAAATGTTTTGAATATTCATAACATACCTGACATATTCCAGTTTCACGTGCTTGCCTTTGCTGCAGCTTAAGATCAAGTTGCTCTTGTAAGTTCATCACATCTAACCTAATCATTAACTGCTCATTTATGAGGTTGGGTATTTAAGTCAATTAAAATATGCAAAAATCTGATTGCAAGTACATTTAGCACCTGTTTTAGGTATATTTAGTACCTGGTTGCAGGTATATTAAGTACCTAGTTGAATGTATATTTAGTACCTGGTTGCAGCTATATTAAGTATCTAGTTGCATTCATATTTAGTACCTGGTTGCAGGTATATGAAATACCTAGTTGCACCTATATAAAGCAAATAGGTTGTCAAGTACAATAGACGGCATCACAGAATGCGTACACTTTCAGTACAGCTGTTTAAACGTCATAGTGTCAACTCAAATTTTCTGTCTGACAAAACTATAAATATAAGTGATATTTTTAGACTAAAGTGCTTATCTTTTAGTGAAATTAGTGCAATTTTATATGTTCTTTATTTCTGTTTTTACACTTTTTCATTTAACGTTCTATAGACTAAATAACAGGGTTGAAACTAATATTGTACATAACCCTTTAACATTGTAATTCGAAAGTATAACGTTAAAACATATTTCAGAAATGTTTAATGATATCTTTGGAGAAGTGCTCTAGAAAGGTCTAATCTAGGATACTCCCCCAGATCTGGGGTAAATACAGGCAACAAGAAACGGTAATTTTCTAATGAAATGTCGTCTTCTAAGGATATTTAATTTTTTTCTCAAATGTATTTTACTATTTTTGGGAACATGTACGAAATATGTAAAATTTTTCAAAAGTGCTTTAATTATGAAATTATTGGAAAGTCTATGTAGATATATAATATAAACAGGGTGTCCCAAACAAAAATTTGGATCGTAGGGGTATTGGGTACTGAGGCAACAATTTTGATTAAATGTTCACAATCATGTTAACATTAGAAATCTCGATATTTCAGTTTTTTCCAGGCATTCTTTTTATATTACAATCACTTCTTTAATTATGGAGCATGAGTCGAAAAATCGATTTCCCAGATTTTTCAAATTTTGATTTTTTACATACATTCATTTGTTCAAATGAATATAACCAAACAATTCACAAATTTTCGTACATTTTATGTAAGTTATCTGTTGCAGCCAAAATTTTGGATCTGCAAAGTGTTTTGTGAGATAACATGTATATTATATTTAAATTTCGCAATATGGATGTCTGTGTGATGTGTTTTGATAAAAAGATGACATATTTTTTGTTATTTATTTTAAATCCATCAAGGGGGGGGGGTACTATGAACATATACCAAGTCAACATTACATTATTATGAATTAAATGATATTTTTGGTCTTCATTAATTATATTTTTTTCATTTAGGGGGCAGGTGAAGAACTTGGTTTGTGCCTGGATGCCGTCCACCCCCTGGGAAATCCAGATTTAAATTTCCAAAGAATAAAAAGAAGCAGGAATTGTGGCTGAATGCTTTTAAAATTGACGACCATAATGAAATCGGAGATAGCCGAGTGTGTGCTCTTCATTTTGCTAAGTCTGATTTTAAGCCAAATTTGAGCACTTTTTCGAAACTTCCAGAAATCTCCCCTGCAAGGAAATTTCTCTTATCCTCTGCAATCCCATCAATAACTGTAAAAGAACCAAGATCTCCATTATCAACCTTTTTGTAAAATTCCTTATTTAGTTTACATAGATATACAGTGAAAAAAAATTAAGCCACCAAATACCAGTAAAAATACTCTATTTAATTTTTAGTTGTAAATATTTTTTACATATTCCTACAAAGACGACATTTATCTCCACCGAATCTTGGAAATCATACCAACTAATTAGAGGACATGTTTTTCTTTTTTCATTTGACACATATGACGTTGTATGCAGTTTTGTCGATTTTTCTGTTGCCATCTATTGTATTTGACAACCTATTTGATATAAAGTATCTAGTTGCATTTATATTTAGTACCTGGTTACAGGTATATTAAGTACCTAGTTGCACGTATATTTAGTGCCTGGTTGCAGGTATATTAAGTACCTGGTTGCAGGTGTACTTGAAACACTCTGTCTCCATAATTTCCCCTCTTCTTCCCATTCTCTGGGGGGAAGAATGCTGTCTAGAATCTCTTCTGTCTCCTCTCTACCCTCCCTAGGACAAAATCAAATAATCGAATTTAGTTAATCAATTGATTAATTTATCTATTAATCCAAAACTGTATTTTACTAACGAACAATTGCACTATGATTGATCAAGCGGTTTGCAGGTTCATTGTAGAATTCCAAGTGAATGATTGTCAAAATATCGGAGCTTTTCCATATTTATTAGAAGAAATTATAATAATAAAATAAATCTATAATAGGTTTGCGTAATTACTAAAATTGTGTGTTATATAACAAATAATTGCTTAATAAGTAATTACGATTTTTGTGTGTATCCTATTCGCAGTGCACGGCCATTCTCACTGATTCCAGTTTATTTCATGTACAGGGCCAAATTTAAACTAGCCTGAGCAAGCTGTACAGTACAAATACAGACAATGGGGCAAAACGGGACGGTACGCCAAATGAATGACTCCCTTCTACTGACATTAATGTGTTCTTTTTATCCCATTTTTTTTGGTAAATTATCGTCATTGTTTATTACCTGGGGCTCGAGGAAGAAGGAGCAGATTTAGGTCTAGTACTAGTCTCATCCTGCTGTAATAATTATTTATTTATAGGAATTGTTAACTTTAATATTTATTTTAAATGGATTGTTCATCGCAATATTTATTTATTCAATAGGAATTGTTCACCGTAATATTCATCTTATATGAACTGTTTACCGTAATATTCATTTTAAATGGATTGTTCATCGCAATACTTATTTATTCATAGGAATTGTTCACCGTAATATTTATCTTAAATGAACTGTTCACCGTAATATTTATTTTAAAGAAACTACTTTACCGTGATATTCATCTTAAATGAACTGTTCACCGTAATATTAATCTTATATGAACTGTTCACTGTAATATTCATTTTAAATGAACTGTTCATCGTGATATTCATCTTAAATGAACTGTTCACCGTAATATTCATTTTAAAGGAACTGTTCACCGTGATATTAATCTTATATGAATTGTTCACTGTAATATTAATCTTATTTGAACTGTTCACCGTAATATTCATTTTAAATGAACTGTTCATGGTGATATTCATCTCAAATGAATTGTTCACCGTAATTTTCATCCTATATGAACTGTTCACCATGATATCCATTTTAACTATTTACCGTAATATTTATTAATTTAAAGGAATTGTTCACCAAAATATATTTAAAGGGACTGTTACCGTAATATTCATTTTAAAGTAACTACTCAGCGTAATATTTATTAATTTAAAGGAATTTTTTACCGTAATATTTATTTATTTAATGGGACTGTTCAACATGATATTCAATTTAAAGGGACCGTTCACCGTAATATTCATTTATTTAATGGAACTGTTTACCATAATATTTATTTATTTAAAGGGACCGGTCACCGTAATATTTATTTTCTTCATTAAATACATAAAAATCTAATATTGGGAACATAAACCAATGATGTGTAGTAAGGATTTCCAACTTCTTCCAGTTGAATTTGCATCCGTAAGATCCTACAGAACTTTTCCTGAAGCTTTTGGTACAAAATGTACTAAATAGACATTATCAGTCCATTCTAGACTACTTGTGTCGAGTCGACCCAGCACAATTAATGCAACAGTAGCCTGGCAAGATCACAGTTTAACCGAATTAAGAATAAATCTACCTTTTGTCATAGATACTACATAGAGCTAGGTGTGACAAGCTGAAACGAATTCGGGGTGATTATTTTAGATGAATTACATGGCATTTTGTCAGCATATCATGCCTAGTTTTGTGTAGCTTCTGGGGGGCAGATTTATTTGAAATTTGGTAAGGACAGTTTTCGCCCTTTAATTTACAAAAGTTTGTAATGTAGCAGGAAAGTGATGTGTTGATCTTTCCTGCGATCATAAATGGTATTTTTTCCCTCCTTCCATCATTTCCAGTTTCTACCACCACCCCTTTTTCCATCCCTCATTAAATCTAACGGATTTATTCCTGTTTGTGTTTGAATTCTATAAATAACCCAAGCCACGCGGAGAAACCGAAGCCAAGCGCCAAGTTCCGTTATTCCAGAAACCCGGGGGCTGGTGGGCTAGCCGGCCAGCTCACGGGGTACTAGGGTTAAATGCTAGCCCAGGGTGGAGCGAAATCTGGGGAAAAAGAATCAGTTGAACACCAGCTCCCTTCACTTGAGGTTCCCTTGAAGATTCCCCATCACTCTGAAACAACTTCAATTCATAATATTTGATTCGTATAGTATCATCCTTTTAGTTTTTGTATCTTTGTAAATAATAAACTGTAAGAAAAACCGACTCGTTGAATATTAATAATACGAGTGATTGCCTTGATTCATTTTTCTTTCATATGTAATAGTAATGTGTTATTATTATTATTATACAGCTTCATGTAAGGTTCCATAAGGTCTTAACAGAACAAAATTGGTCCGGCAGAGAGTGGCACCATTATTAGCTGAAGAAAACATCAAGTAATACAAAAGGGTAAATAGCGATCCTGAATCCAAATTTAAAATATCATATGTATTTTCAAATAAGTAAACAACCCCTTTAACCTAATTTTAGAAGTTCATAAGTAAATATTTTTTTTAACATTAAATACAATATTAGCATTTAAACAAATATTGATATTCTTATTAAAAATCATAATTTGGATAAATTAACATATTGACAAATAATTTTATATTTAGTCTCCCAATTCAGCCATATTGTTTTTAAATCTATACAAGTATTTTATTCTTTACTAGGCCTTCATGACGCCGCATTTTCTTGAAATGAAGTAGATCTAGTCTGTTTATTTAACTGCAACAATTTTGTAACTTTATGTTACGATTTTTGGTAACTAATAACTTGGTAACCTGACAATTTTGAAACAGTTTGGTAACCTCACGATTTGGTTAGGTTAGGTTAAGACAATATTTGCGGCTAGAACAGGCTAGGGGGCGATCGCTGCGGTCATATTTATCAAAAGTAGTACAATTATATCCGATATGTAAGGTTAAGTAAGGTTTAGACAATTTCTGGGCCGAGCGCTGTGGCAAGAACAGGCAAGGGGGTCGAGCACTGCGACCATTTTTATTAAAGATAATACAATGATATCCGATATGTGGGGTTAGGTTAGGTCAAGACATTTCTGGGCCTAGCGCTGCGGCTATTAGGACAGGTTAGGGGGCCGTGCGCTGCTGTTATATTTATTATACTAAGAGTAGTACAGTGGTCCACAGAAAAAGGGAAAAACGTAGACGACCTTTGTTAAAGAAATACAGTGGTCTGCAGAGATAAGCGGAAAAAGAGGACGACAATGGTTAAAACAGAGAAAAGTGGAAAAATACGTTTATTTAATAAAACAATAGTCCACGACCAGAGAAAATATACAGGGTGAGTAAAAAAAAAGTGTGATTTGCGGCGCCTGCGCCTGGTGCAAAATTGTACCTTTTTTGTGCAACTCTCCTGTATGGTGTTTTTATAATATTTTTTGAAAATTTGTAATTTTTTTGGTACTCCAAAGTAAGTTTACATTCCTTTTTTATGTATAATATTCTATTAGATTTCAGTGTCTGTTTAAGTTTCAGAATATTCCTTTTTCTTGTATTTAATGTATACGTTAATTGCACGTTAGATTGGAATCATAACCTCTCTTATTGTAAACCTATGGCAAAGGAAAATAATATTTTAAATTTCTAAAATGTAACCAAATAATCTTTCTTCATTCATACATACTTATGTGAAAAATAAAAAATAGAGGAGCTACGACGTCATAAAGTCGTACCAGTAATGTCACAGAACTTTGACAGTCTCCTTCTGTGTATAGTTTGCAGTCTGATTGGTATATACTGAGGTGTGGGGAAAAATTAGAATCCCCTATCCTGGTTTATTTTATTATACTTCTATGTGCAGTATTGAACAAACTATAACTTTCTATATTTTCATTGTTCACTCAAACTAGCTTTCTACCTTTCAACATCTTATTTCTATTATTATTAAATCTTTTCAGTTTTCTTATTATTTAACCATTTATCGTTCTACAGCCCCTAAAAAATATGAAATAATTCCAGCTGATTTAACAGTTTATCCTTTTCTCAGCTAGCTGTGACTTTCTCACACGATTTGATCTATTAAACAAAACAAAATTTGCGTTTGAACATACTTATTTTTTGACACATATTAACATGTTACATATGTTATTACACATCCATTTTTCTAAGGGATTTTTAAAATAAATTAATTTTTGGTCCAAGCTTTGATTAAAAAGTTATTTGCAATTTTTTTTTCTTCACGCTGACCAGCAGTTTGAGCATTTTTCACCCTACCCTATTTTAACATTTTTGTGTAAGCGTGTATCCGGTTGACCATGTAATCTAACACTTTTAAATATAATATATGATTCACGTATTTCAGATAACATATAATGCTCCATGGGTTTAGTGAAGATGTAGGATTTTCGTGTATTTTGAAGCTATTGAAACCGCATGGATTCTAATGTTCTTCTCAACCTTTCCAGCTACCCATTAATCTATCTGCTTAATTATCTATAAAAATAGGTTTAAAATTAATCTGAAGAGCTGTTATATATACACATTTTTCAAAACGTTTTTTTTAATTTCGTCTGCAACATTTAGAGAAAACATTCGTCTATACTTGTTTATAACTCTCTTGTAAGACCTCATATTGAATATGGAATTGTTACTTGGGGAGGGGTTAAAAACTCTAAACTGAAAAAAATCAGATCTTTGCAAAAAAAAAGGCAATCAGAGCGGTTAATAATAGTACCTTTCAAGGCACATTCAAATCCATTATTTTCAAAACTGAAAGTTCTTAATCTTAAAGGGAGAGTTCGCGAAAAATGAAAGTGGGTATAGGCTTAATGCAATAAAAAAGCGCTTTTGATCGCTACTAATCTTACTTCTATCTGTTGCGCCTATAAGGAGAAAATTGTTAAAGACATCTCATACCGAATAACTTAGCGGCCATACAAATTGAGAAAATTGCAACATACAACTTAGACCGTAAAAAATCAAATTAATATCAAACAAATCATTCAGAAATTACAACCTATAGTCATCGACTATCTTTCGCCACATTTATATATAGTTTTTATTTTTTAGAAAACATTTTTAATGGATTTTGAAAATTGTGAGTGGTGTGCGGCATTCTTAGATAGTTGCGCAAGCGACAAGAGAAACAAACAAATTAATGAAAAAATATTATAAAATATAAACTATATACAAATGTGGCGAAAGATAATCGATGACTATAAGTTGTAATATCTGAATTATTTGTTTGAAATTAAATTGATTTTTTTACGGTCTAAGTCGTATGTTGCAATTTTCTCAATTTGTATGGCCGTTAAAAACGTTTTCTAAAAAATTAAATGTAAAAAGTTAATTAAAAAATATTATAAAATATAAACTATATACAAATGTGGCGAAAGATAATCGATGACTATAGGTTTTAATATCTGAATGATTTGTTTGAAATTAAATTGATTTTTTTATGATCTAAGTCGTATGTTGGAATTTCCTCAATTTGTATGGGTGCTTCGTTCTTCGGCATGAGACGTCTTTAACAATTTTCTCATTATAGACGCAACCAGGGAGTAAGGAAAAGAAGGGAGATATAACTGACGCGGTTCGCCCTACCATATGATTATACATGCTTTGCGGACGGTACTCAATTTTTGTTAGAAATATTTATCTGATGTACAATTACCGCGCATACAATAACCTATTCTGAATATTTCTTATACAAATGGAGTACCCGTTTGCAAAGCATGTATAATCATATGGTAGGGCGAACCGCGTCAGTTATATCTCCCTTCTATTCCTTACTCCCTGGACGCAACAGATAGAAGTACGATTAGTAGCGATCAAAAGCGCTTTTTTATCGCATTAAGCCTATACCCCCTTTTCATTTTTCGCGAACACTCCCTTTAATGATAATCTTCCCTCTTCCTTCCAAAATATGTTTAAGTCTTTAACTGAACCGAATAGAACAAAATCATATAAATTACGAAAACATATCTTGATGTGTGTAACCAATTATATTCAGTATTGTTAACTAACTTAGGGTCAACCACTCAAAACAACCAACCATAGTTAGGCGGGTCCAAACTGCATAGTAAATTGTGATTGCTTATTTGTAATATGTCATGCTTTGTAGTTAAATACAAATATGAATGAATGAACTAAATAACTTGAAGCCATAGTTCACCTGTCAAGGTAGTTCACCCTCTACTTAAACTTATTTTGTATTTTATTTTTAAATTTCTTGCTATTACCTAATCCTTTATTTTACCTTGAGTACACTAACATGATCTGAAAATATCAACAATGCTCTTGAAAGTTAAGGATTAATTTTGTAAAAACATGGAAATTTAGTAAAATTATCCACGTGGAGGTTTAGTTTTGAATATTATGTATATGTGAACTGAAAAGCTCGTTTATGAGGTATTTTTTTTACACAAAACTTCCAACTTCTAATATTTCCTAACCTGTACCTATATATTTAAGTTGTAATCTCTGTTTTGGCGGCAGTTTGTTTGTTTGTCCGATCATAAATAAGGAACCCCTTGACCGATTTGCCTCAAATTTTGATTGGGGAACTTGGGAGACCCACGGGAATGTTCTAAGCTTGGTTTTGCGATTCTTATGTGAGTGGCTCTGCATTAATAGCGAAAATTTAGTTTCCCGGTAAAATCGTTCCAGTGCAAGTAAACGGCGGGACTAACCATGACTACCCTGGGCAATGCTGGATTTATAAGCTAATTCTACATATCAAAGTTTGCTTTGTTCAACTCTGTAATATTTTTAGAAAATATAAGGAAAAACTAAAAAACGATCGTTTTTGGTTCGTTTTGTTGCAAATAATTCAGGGTCTAAATTTGGCATCTGAAAGAAAAGAAAATTTTAAAATTAATATGAAACTTATTTAAGTAAAGTCTTATAAAAGTCAAAAAAATTTAAAGTTTAAAGTTATGTCCTATTAATATTTATGTATGATTTAAATTGTGAGTCTTCTATAGTTCGTCCTCTGTAATGTTCGTCCAACTGAAACACTGAACATGTCTGACTTTTGTGGAGCTAGAGCAAATTTGTTGACCATAAACTTATCTCCTAACCCCTCACTCACATCACGTCTTTACCAGCCCAAATCCAAACCAAACAATTTCTCCGACTATACCACCCAGACAAAGGAAAATCGAAACAGTGAAACATTTTACTAAGTGAAAGATCAAATCCATAAATAATTTTGCAATCAATAGCTAATTCGACTTTAAAAAAAACGAGCTTATATTTTCAGAAGTATTTACAAATGTTATTAATTTTTCCATCAAACCTTCAAACCTTAATCACTTCTTTCACTCCGTCATGAAAAACTGGTAAGATATTTTTTAAATATTCAACTAAATTCATACATTGTCATTTTTATTTTTTACTATACCCGTATTTTATTACAGGTTTGAAATACATCTGTTTACTGATTATTTGCAACTACTGTGTACAACCGACTTACGGTAAATCAAGTCTACCTATCTATTTATCAACCAACTTACAGTCAAGCCATCAACGTCGCCCTCCTATAGTTTTACAAAGTTGTGTATATACAGTGGTCCACGACCTTGTATATATCAATACAATAAGGACAACTTTCGATTTACTTTTTATATCTATCAAGAAGCTGTCAATTAACAGCTTCTCTTTGTAAATAAATAATTTATAAAAACTCTTGTTAAAAATAAAAAAGTCTTCGATTTTCTGTATATGTAACGTTGCATACATGAAGTAAATGACGTACTCTTAAAAGTTTGTCCCAAACTGTATCAGTCCAGGTACCACTCGTCTGCTATTAAAGCCAACCAGTACACAACCCATCTGGCTCTAATTGCCACACATGGACGCAAGCATAGCTAACCAACAAGCTTTTATCAATTTGTGTATAAGGTTTATAGGTTAAAAGTTAAATTAATAGACGTAATTACAATTCCTACATTGTTATCTATATCACATGATTAAGAAAATCATGTTACGTATTACAGCACAGTTGAAATAAGGGCATTTAAGATGTGTGTATTTAAAGGATTAGCGAGGATAGATATAACATAGTTTAAGCTATCTCTACACATGTTAATAAGTTGAATGGAGGTATTAAAAGGGGTTTAAGCTAACCATGCTATGTATTCACTTGAAATGCAGTTCAAATGAATAATGGTTTTTACGTAGAAGTTTATAAACATAGATTAATAATGATCTGTACGATGTACTGCAAGTTTACAGAATATCATGTGACCTGATATTTATACATAGAGAATAGAATATATAGAGAGGAATTTACTAGAGAAAAGTGTGAAACGGCCATTTTGTTGTACTGTTTCCATACTGCAGGTGTACTTCACATATTTATGCTATATAACCTGTTGGGCCCTGGAATATCATTTTATAGAAAATCTAAAATTATTGTTAAAAGAAAACCAAATTATTTTCCTGATTTAAAATGCGTTCCCAACTTAGAACAAGTTCTTGATAATAAGAACGCGTTAACGATTTTAACAGTTCTTTTCAAGCAATTCCCGTTCCGTTCCGTTCCGTTCTTTTACTAATCGTTCCAATATTTTTAAGAACGCGTTCTAAGCGTTCGTTTTTTTTTCGGAACGATGGGATCGTTCTTGATCGTTCCGTTCGTTCTCGGCAAAGAGCGATCGTTCCACCGTTAACGCGCCCAGCCCTACATGCACACACAACCTATAGGCGGTAAAACAGGACAGTACACCAAGTGAACCATCTCCTCTAAAGGAGATTTATGTAGTCCTCTGTCCTGCGTCCTATACGTCCTCAGTCCATATTGTACGTTTTTAACAGTGCGTCCATACTCCATATACATTATGTTAAGAAACGATTTGATACATGTTTCATTGTAAATTTATTTTTGTTTTGTTTAATACAATACAATACAATGAAGCAAAGGAAATAAAAAGATTAATGTTATACATTCACCTATATTATGGCAATCTTTTAGAGGATCGATAATTAAGATAAAATGTTTTTTTCTTCATTCAGAAATTGAATCCAAAAATATTCATAATATTGAACAAAGTTAGAACAAAATTGCAGATTATTAAATCAAATTACAGGAATTTAAACGGAAAAGTAATATAGTACGGATATAAAGCAAAGGACGGAATAATAAAATTGGACGGAATAATAAAATTGGACGGACTGATTATATTATTGGACGGAATTGTTATTTATAATCTAAAGAAGTAAACTGTTACAGTCTGTATAAATGCGCCAAACTGTTTACATTTTGTGTGGAAGAAATTGTACATAATCAGGCTAGCTGCAGATATAATTCCGCGAAACATAATTGCTGGAAATACAATTATGTATGTCTGTAAATTAGATTTAGGGCGGCTATTATAGAGTTTAAACATGTTATTTGGATGGTGGTAAGAAACTGAAAGTCAATAAGTTTTTTTGTCGTGTAACCACGATTCCAAAAATCATATTTCCAGCAATTCTATCTGCAGCCAAAAAAAAATAAGGTCTATCTAAATGCAATTCTCTGCTGTTAAAAAAGCTTATTATCAAAAGAGAAGTTTCAATTTTTAAAACATAATGTATGGAACAGTGGCGTTAAAAAACATCAATTTTTTGGACGTAGAAATAGTTGGAGCTAAGCAAGTAAAGTCTGTTACTTTGTTATTCCAAATACACTGATCAAATAAATACTTTCATACACGATTAAATACTAATAGATTAAAATGGATTTTTTTAATTTGATGGATTTTGAATGACAGATTAAATGACGGAGCTAAAAAACGATTTGAAAAACCGAAAATTTCCTTAAAATATCATTTCGAAAATTAGAGAAGTTCATGAACATTGAACAGGAAATATTCTGAAAATATTATTTCAAATTGATCCGATAGTAAAATAAAAGAAAAAACATTTAATAATATTCTTAGAACGATTAAAATACATATATACAGTAAACGGCGTCAAACCTTATAGAAATCCAACGTATGGACCCGCTACGTATAGCAACATGGCGTATTTTCCGGGAGAACATTTATTATATTTTTGAAAAATTAAACGTTTTTGTAAAATATTGTAGCTTATCATTATCATTATCATAATTTCTATTTTTTTAACATAACCTAGACATTAAAGGAGCAAAATAGTTTAATACGTACATTTTAGGTTTGGAAACAATTCTTAAAAGTATAAAAAAAGTTCTCCAGTAATGCTGATATGATTTCATAAAATTTCGTTTTACCATTTAAATAAAAGGATTTTATGAAAATTATATTTACTTTACACTGATAATTTAATTTTTCAAAAATATAAAAAATGTTCTCCCGGAAAATACGCCATGTTGCTATACGTAGCGGGTCCATACGTTGGATTTTATAAAATGGAGTACCGTCTGCAAAGCATGTATAATCATATGGTAGGGCGAACCGCGTCAGTTGTCTCTCCCTTCTATTCCTTACTCCCTGGTTTGACGCCACAGTAAACATTATTAAAATAATAAGTTAAAGTCCTCTTTTAGTTAAAATTTAAACAATACATAAACGTAAAAACATTTTCCTCTTTCGCACAAAAAAATCTCTTTAATGTTTTTGCTTTTTATCCTCAATATTGAACCCACAATTTTGAACATTTTTTATCTTAGCCGGACAAAAATATTTCTTTTAATTTTATTAAGGAACTTTAAAAATTAAGCATTTTGCGACTTTTCTGTTTCTTTTTTCTTCAAGAAGTTCTCAGTTTGCTTTTGCAACGCTAATATGTTCTGTCAATGCGAAACGGTTGAAATCATAAAAATAAAATAAAATATGAAATGAAAAAACAGAATAGGTAATTCAAACATTAAACATGGAGTTCATTAAACATGGAGTTGTTTTATTTTCTCGTAAATCCAGGGAACATACTTAGACAACCTAAATAAAATAAATAAAATAATTTAAAAATATCTAACTTTTAAAAGTAAACTTAGCTAATCATACTGAATTGTAACTTTTTTTATCATACTATCATTATCATTATTATTATTGTTTTTACTATTATTATCGTTATTATTATTATTATTATTATTATTGTTATTATTATTATTATTATTAAATTATTATTAAGACCTGGTGTATACGCCTGGTTTGAACTGCCTGCCACACCCATACCCCCAGCTGGTGAGACCAACTACAACTCCCCTATCTGCTCCACCCACTGTTTCTTCAAGAAGAACTGCAGGGCCTCCGCTATCCCCCTGACACGAATCTACTCCTCCCTGGACAATATTGATGCAACATTTTTTTTAGTTTACATTATGTCTTAACATTAGGGTTTCCAACATAATTCTGCACAATTTCGCGCAATTCTGTACAGTTTGGCGCAATTCCGTGCAACGGAATTCAGCTTCTATTCATGCTTTTACTTCATAGAGAAACTGTAATTGAAAATAAACAGTTTAAAGAAATCCAAATTATGAAATTATCAGACAAAGGTTATTGAGGGACTGTTGTACAGATTTGCATCTTTAGTAAATTAAAGGGAGTGTTCGCGAAAAATGAAAGGGGGTATAGACTTAATGCGATAAAAAAAGCGCTTTTGATCGCCACTAATCTTACTTATATCTGTTGCGTCTATAAAGAGAAAATTGTTAAAAACGACTAATCCCGAATAACTTAGCGCCCATACAAATTAAGGAAATTGCAACATATGACTTAGAGCGTAAAAAAATCAATTTAATTTCAAACAAATCATTCAGATATTCCAACCTATAGTCATCGATTATCTTTCGCCACATTTGTATATATTTTATATTATATAATATTTTTTAATTAATTTGTTTTGTTTTGAATTTGATTATTTCTCTTGTCGCTTGCGCAACTATCTAAGAATGCCGCGCACCACTCACATTTTTCGAAATCCGTTAAAACGTTTTCTAAAAAAATAAAATATTAAAAAATAAACTATATACAAATGTGGCGAAAGATAGTCGATGACTATAGGTTGTAATATCTGAATGATTTGTTTGAAATTAAATTGATTTTTTACGGTCTAAGTTGTATGTTGCAATTTTCTGGATTTGTATGGGCGCTAAGTTATTCGTTATGAGACGTCTTTAACAATTTTCTCCTGATTAGATGCAACAGATAGAAGTAAGATTAGTAGCGATCAAAAGCGCTTTTTTATCGTATTAAGCCTATACCCCCTTTATTTTTTCGCGAACACTCCCTTTAAATGCTTTTTTATTTACCTGTATTTTGTTACAAATTTCATTTATAGATTTTTTTGCGGTTATAAATGATTTAAACTTTTTAAATTGTATGTTTTTGATCTAGTTCCTCTGGTGGAGTGGATTTTGAAAAATGTCTATGTACTAAGGTCGTCATCGTCGTATATATATCTATGAAATTAAGACTACTTTCGATTTCATTTTTGATTTCTACCAAGTTTTGAAACAGCATGGATATTCACATAAACATGGAAACAATGAGAAGTTGTCAATTAACAGCTTCTTTTTGTTTTCTTGTAATTTGTATTAAAAAATCGTCTTCTTTCTATTGATATTAACGCCGACCATTGTAAGTTACCTCTAGAAGACCAGCACAGAACATTCCAGAAGATATCTTCTCTCCTCCATATACGTTATCCTGTCTGCACACTCCGGAAGGGATTACAGGTACGCTGAAATATATTTGACTAGTTAAAAACCCAGCGTTGCCCAGGGTAATCTTAGTTTCTACCGCCTACTATCCGGGTTTGATCGTAAATTACGATTTTAGCTATTTTTCCCTTTAAAAGTTGACCCACTCAACTTAGAATCTCAAAACCTAGCTAAGAACATTCCTTTGGGTCTCCCGAGTTTTTAATTTAAAAATTTGAGGCAAATCAGTCAAGGGTTATTTATTTATAATCGGACATTCAAAATAAAAAAAACAGAATTTTGATCCGAAGAAGAAAATATGAAAAAAAACTAACTAAAAACCAACCAACGACGAACGTGCTAAAACAATATTTTTTTATGGTTTGTTTTTCCATTTTTTTAAATTAAAAGCATACTTTGACAGAATACAGTTTTGAAGTATGGGAAGTTTAAAAATAGCTTTTATTCTTACCTTGCGTATTGAAGTTTGGAGATGAAATTTTTCCCGTTCAGATCCTTTATATTGATAGAAAACATGAAACTTTGCTTGAAGGAATTGTGTCTTTGTCACAAACTCTGATTTTCTAATCCCTAAACTTTGCAACCCAATGCCATAAACCTTAGATATTTCAAAATAGGTTAGATAAAATAATTCAGATATTAAATATCAAATATTAGAGGAATTAGAACTTTTGAGTTTGTGGCAAAGATCCAATTCCTTTTGAAAGGATAAGCTGAATTATCATTAAATGGGTTGTTACTATTTTACATCGTTCTGAAGTCGAACTCTCGTGTTTAGTATCCTTTATCTTGTTGCTTGATATCGATATCCAAGGTTAACGGTTCAAGTGATGATGTTAAAAAACATCGGATTGAAATGATAATAGTAGCAATTGATCATAAATAAGAATTGTTGACCAACACCTTTAGTTATACTTTTATTTTAAAGATATTCACAGCGATATCTTTTAAACCTTTGACTGATGAAGGATTCACAACGGTACCCTTTAAACCTTTGATTGATGTATAATTCACAACGGTACCCTCTAAACCTTTGATTGATCAAGGATATGGGACATATCTTTATTAATCTACTAATTGCAATCTGCTATATAATTAAGAATATCAATAGCTACGTTCTAAAAATGACAGAAAAACAAAAATTTACTTTTGAATGTTAAAAATCCGCTTTTAAAGTAAAACAGTCGATACTTTAATTTAATTAATTAAGAAACAGATTATCTGCTTTCTACTTGATGAACAGTTAATGGTCTCAAGGAGATTGCTTTCTTTCAGCGGAGGGTCACTTGAGATTACGCTTACAATCCCTTTAATAATTGTTGATCAACCTTAGTTATACTAATATTTTAAAGTGTTGTGCTTTATCGGATAAGAGGGTTATTTTGGTATATTTGGTTCAGATTATTTTATAAACCTTTTAGAAAATGTTTTGAAATTATAAAATGAATTTTCTGTCTTAAGCCATACTTGAGAGGATATCATGGTTTGATCGTGTAGGACGAGAAAGACGTAGAAATTTATAATTTTCAATTGTTCATTAATTAGATCGACCCCACCACCACTTTATACACATACATATAAACAGTTTGTTTTGAATATTCATGACAGAAACAATCTCAAGGAAAAATAATTGTCTTAAAAAAAGTCTTTGAAAAGTTAATATTTGCAAATTATCTGTTTTCAATATCATGATCTGAGTTCGTTTCCCTTTTGTCCATTTGACGACCCAATTTTTAAAACTCTTTTTTTTTCTTGTGATTTTTTAACATTTTTAATGTCGATTTTGCAGATGGTTATAATATTCGTTAGAACCGACGAGGGTCAACCCAGTCTGAAATATATTTTCAATAAAATGTGGAACTAACATCTTCTTTTTTTAGTCTACAGTGGTTTTGTGCATTACTATCACCGAATTTTAAAACTAATGAACTGTTAATGCAATTTTAAGAGAAGTATTTCCAATCTAGAACAGTAGCTTTTAAAAATGATTTGCAGCGGTTTAATAATTTTTAAAAAATCAATTCTGAAAACGTAACCACCCAAATGGATGATTTTGAACGTCGACTTTGCGCGCAAACTCAGTAATTATACATCATTGAAACTTTTTATGTGTCTCAAATTAATCCAAAAATATTTCTCTACAATACGACATTCTCAGTTCAACCACCATACATTGCCGGTCACTCCTTTTAATTGATCAACAATGTGAAAGATATGATCATCTTCTTATAATACGTTGTGAATGCTGCAGAACTCTCCAAGTCCTTTTCAATAGAAAACGACAGTTAAAAATTGCTAATTTTCAGATACAAAAACAGAGATATCAACTAGATTTTTAAATCCATCATGAGGGTCATTTTCGGTTTCTTTGAAATTTTTTCAAAATCATGGATTAAAAAAAAAGTTACATATTAATTTTCCCTGATCATAACCATTCTTCCCCCACCCTGATATCGTCACATTCTTTCCTATATCATTAAATAATAAATAAAATAGTTTTTTTCTCACAAATTTTAAGAAATGAACATGATGTAGAAGCATAACAAGTGGCAAAATAAATTGTCAGACTATTTAGCTGGAAAAAATTTAAAATTTTTAAAATAAAATATGACAATTTTTTGTTTTTATTTGGAATTTAAACCTGCGTAGGTAGTGTGTGGGCTGGGTAGACAAACAGGGCCAACATAAGGACCAAACTTTATCCCACCCTCATCTAAAGATTTTTTTTTAATTTTTAAAAGTTTTAGAATGAAAAAAAATAGTTTATGAATTTTCTTAACTATTGCAAAAATTTATTTGCAAATTTTGTCAAAATATGGTTTTTCCCAGGGATTTGTTTAAACAACTAAAAAATAAATACTTTAAAATGAGCAAAACATGTTTTTACTCACCTTGTCGTATGTGAGCAATGGCTATATCGTTATTAAGATAAGGACCAACATTGAAGTTTTCATGAAAATCAACTTTTTCAATCTGAAACTCCGCTTCTCCTGAGTCCTGAACAAAAAAATGGTTTAATCAGTGCTAATAATTATTTTATTGCAGAAGGCAAGAAATGGAGTCTTGGCCGCAAACTCTGATTTTCCATTTATTTTGCATTTATCTTAGCAACTTCATGTCACAGAGCTGAGCTATTTCAAACTATAAACTCTGCCAGATATGATGATCTAAGTTTGAAATGTTAAGGGTTTGCATCATCAGAGGTTTTCAAGATATTCTAATTAGAAAATTAGACTCAATTCCTTTCCCAGCTTTTAAACAAAATCCTGATAGTTACAAAGTCAAAAATCCATAATAAAACAAAGTTCTACTCTGATATAGTAGATTTCCAGCTTATTCCTGACAACAAAAACATCGTTGAAAGGGACTGTTAAAATTAATTTTTACAATGTTCATTAATTATTAACTACAGTTTACAGGGAAGTTAAGGGAATTTTGCTTTACCAAGGGTTCCCAAGGCCAATTTTGTCTACAAAACATCCAGAGTGCAGCGAGGGATGTTTCTTAACAAAATTGGCCGAGGGAACCCGTGGTTATTTACAATTACAAAATTGCATGCTAGACAATTTTGCTTTTATTACATTATTCTGATTATTTTTCTGACCAAAACAATTAGAAAAAAGTTTTTGTCTTTTGTTTTGAAAAATAATAATATCTTTGATCAAAGAAAAAAATTCGCATTGAAATCGAAGCAAATAACTGAAGAATCGAGAAAACAATTTTGCAATTTAATTAATTTAACTCACTTTTTTGTCGTCGTTTAACGTTTAACGACTAAAAAAATCTAAATGTCTGAAAACGATGCAAAAAACAATCTACAGGCTGTCCAATAAACATGGGAATTAAGTGAAAATTTGTAAACCACTGGTTATTGAAAGTATTGGTTTGAATTGTTTAATTAAATTATTACCTATAGTCCCAAAGACAGTGAGCAGTAGTTAAAATGTGGAAAGGTGAGATTACAACTGCTCCACAATGATGAAAAGTTACTCCTCCTGGACCACGTAGTCGGATGCTAGCCTGCAATAGGGTTTCAGATAGTTCAACTACCCATACTTGCTCCAACTATTTTTATAAATTAATTAACTGCGAACTTTGAAATAAGTTTTTTTTGAAGGTCGTCCAAGACAAATTGAATTATTTCAAAAAAATTTAATTACATTTAACCACATTAGTGTAGAAGTTATATTTTCGGTCAAGACATAGATTCCTTAGGAACGCTATTAACGCAATTGTTAGATATATACTTGCCAAGAAATAGATTCTTAAGAAACGCTCTAAATACAAGTTAGATCTATACCTGCCAAGAAATAGATTCCTAAGAAACGCTCTAAATACAAGTTAGATCTATACCAGCCAAGAAATAAATTCCTAAGAAACCCTCTAAATACAAGTTAGATCTATACCGGCCAAGAAATAGATTCCTAAGAAACGCTCTGAACACAAGTTAGATCTATACCGGCCAAGAAATAGATTCCTAAGAAACGCTCTGAACACAAGTTTGATATATCTGCCAAGGAATTGACCCGTAAGGAACACTTTGAACACAAGCTAGATGTACCTGCCAAGGAATTGATCCATGAGGAACACTCTGACCCCCAGCTACCCTCTGAATATTTTCCCTGGTTGGTAATGTGACCGGCTTCCGTCTAAAAAATAAAGGTTTTTTAGTAGCTTCTATTAAATCTAAAGGAAAGTGAATATTTCGGTTTACCTTAAACCACAGTTTTCAACTATTTGTTTATTTTCAAATCCAACCTAAAAGTAACAAAAATGTTATTTTTTCCAAAAACTTGCGTAATCTTTTTTTTGGCTTTTTTAAAAGAATTACCAACTCTTGTTGTTCTGAAGAGTTTTCCAGTCCCACAACCTCAATTATCATATCATCATCTGAAATATTAATAATAATAGTTATGATAATAATAATAATAAGAATAATAATAATAATAATGATAATAATAACAACAAAAGAGATTGTAATAATATGAATAATAACAATAATAATAATGATACTGTACCTGAGCATGTCAGCTGTATATCTTCATGATGTGAACATGAATAATCATGATTCCAAAGATCAGATTCATGACATTCATCTACATTAATTAATTACGATAATCTACAACTAAAATAATTAGAGTAAGTCAATAAAAATGATGAACAGTGGTTCTAGCCGCAATGCTAATGACCTAATTTTACATTACCACTTTTTAAATAGATTAATTCGGTTTTTTATAAAGGGATTGTAGTCTTGTGTGTATATGTGTTTGCTAGAGATTTTAAAGTGATTATCATGGATTTAAAGAGTCCTAATCAAAACGTTACCAAACCTTAATGATGTATACACAGTGTTCGCATTGTTCACGTCATAGGAGTATGAAATATAAATACCTGACGCGGCCCGCCCTACCATATGATTATACATGCTTTGTAGGCGGTACTTCATTTGAATAAGAAATATTTGTCTGATGTACAATTACTTCGTATACAATAACTAATTCTGAATATTTTTTATACAAACGGAGTACCCGCCTGCAAAGCATGATAATATATGGTATGGCGGGCCGCGTCAGTTGTATCTCCCTTCTATTTCATACTCCTTGGTTTACGTACTTTGGGGATCATAGTTTGTCTCTCGTATGAATTATTTATCTATCAGATAAGAATTTTGCGTGAGACATCTAATTACCAAACTATCAATACGACATTTGATAAATTCTTTCGTTGTTTGGCTCATTTAGGGTTTAACTGTAGATATCTAAGTCATACCTTGTGAATCGGACGAAAATATGCTAGTCTTGAAATAATACTTGAAATAATATTTCTAGTTTTTAAATTTAGTTTACCTATTGATTTTTCAGTTCCTGTACACAAGCTAGTTTCCGGTAATCGTATCCATATTGGCCAACTTCCCTCTTTCTAACAGTAGAAAACAAATTCAGTTGTTGTTAGTATATATATATATATTTCAATACAATGAAAATGACTCGTTCTTTTACAATTTTTGATTTTAACAATCTAAACATGCAGAGACGTACATAAACATGTAATTTGAAGAATGCTTGTAAAATTTAAAAAAAGTCGTCTTCATTGTATCAATATTATTGCCGGCTATGGTGTTTAAATAGAAATGAATTTCTGAAAAGCAAATAGATTAATTGGTACAATTATTTAGAAAACACGTAAAGATTTAGTACAATTAATTGTACAATTAATTGTACAATTACGTCACTGGTGACATTTAAGTTTTTATTTGATATTTGATAATGGCGATAAATGTCACATTTGACCCACATCGTCATGCAAAATTTCTTCGAAATCTCCTTTCGACCTATTGTACTTGTAGTCTAATTGGTTAAACAATTATACCAAATGCGTTCGGTTTCTTCAATTTGAATTCAATCTTGTTTTTGTTTATAATTCTACTATATTTATATTTATATTTTCTTAATACTTTTTCGTATAAAACGCAACCGGCGACATAAAGGTATAAAAGAGAAAATGCGAAATGTTATTTTTAATTGCTAAGAAAGGCAACAATTACTGTTGAATCTGTGTAGCATGCATCCTAATTTATCTACCTGATGCAATTCAGATATCTCACCCCAAGTAGAATTTCCATCATATCCTAACATTCTAAAAATTAAAAAATATTATGCTTAATAATTTAAAGGAAATGAGTTTTTGCCGCAAACTCAAAATGTATTATCCCTATATCTGTGCAACCCGATGTCGTAGACCTTTGTTATTTCAAACTATGAATATTGTTAGATCGAAAGGTCTGAGTTTGAAAATCAACAGATTTCAAAGATATAGGAATTAAGGAATTTGAGTTTGTTGCAGAAACTCAGTTCCTTTGCCCAGGTTTTCCGGGAACCCTAGCTAGCCTTTCATAAATACCAATTTAAAAAGAATGAAAGGCAAATCAAAATTACGTTTAAGATTCTGCAACAACGATTGTAATGTTTAATTTTGACGTTCATAGGTCAACATTTCTTTATTGTTGACAAACCTGTCAGATACAAAAAATCAGGCCTGATCGGTTCAGCCGTTTTGACGTTTATAGGTACAAAAAACGAGTCAAATATATAGGGTTACCCATAAAGTATGATACTTCAGCGACGACCTAAAATTTTTAATACTGAATGGTTAATTATGATCTTTTCTTTTAAAAAAGGTTTTCTAAAGTATATTAAATAATTTCATACAGAAAGAAACAGTCAACGTTATAAAAATGAATTATTTCCGTACAGTCGTCTCTGAGGTCTCATATTTGTAAAGATTATAAACTATTTTACCTGCAAAATATGTTCGCCTCATTGTTAGAAAAAAAATCTGCGCAAACAGTTCCCCATATTCCCTAAATACACAATTAAATATTTATAAATAGAAAATTATTATATTTATTAGTTTTATATTTTGTAAATTTTGTGTAGAGTGGAAGTACTTGTTAATTAAACCATATAAAAGGGACAGTGCATGAAACGTAATTAAACCATATAAAAGGGACAGTGCATGAAACATAATTAAACCATATAAAAGGGACAGTGCATGAAACGTAATTAAACCATATAAAAGTGCATGAAACATGATTTTAAGCAACCCTCCATACGAAGATAGCAATGCCAGATTCACAAAGCGCGGTACCCTTGACATCTTTCTCTGATCAATAATGTAGAAAATATTGTAGATTTTCTATGTTTGATTCTGATATATCTGTTTTCCTGCAGAAGAAATGTGTAGAAACTAGAAAGTGACTATTGTTAAGAAACAACGATTGAACATTTAAAAAGTATAAACATTGATATATATAATTCATATTTAATCAGACAAACCATTTAACGGTAACGTTGTAAATCGGGCCTTGTCATCTTTGCATGGAGGGTCACTTACGCTTACCAGTCCCTTTAATTAAAATATGATTTATAATTAACTTACAATACGTGTACAGTGGAATAATTTTTTATCCAAATACTGTATATTTGATGAACTGATTTTATTATACAAATATCGAATACATTATATTTAAAATCAATGGAGAGGGGAGGGGGGGGGGGGGAGTTTAAATTTACCCGGTTTCACGTCAAACTGCATCAAAGTGAAACTTTAGATTGAAATATTATATGTTTTCAATCATGGCTCCATAAATTGCTTTAAATTTCTAATTCAAGCGTAACAAACCAATTTTTATATCAAATACTTATTTTTGATAGTTAGGTACTCGGGCCGGTTAAGAAAACTATCGTCGGAAAAATGTTAAAAACATATGCCCCTCACTTTAGGCTCAAAGCGGGGCTTTTATACATACTGCCTGAGTCCTCAGGCATATTGCCTGAATGCCTTGTTTTACTTTTACTGGACTAAATCTATATTTAGACCTACTTCCGGTCATTGGATTTCGACTTTTATGGCTCTTTGGAAACCCTGGAGTTAAAAGAAGCAGATTACAAAATTTTTGCGAGGAAATTTTGCATAGATTTAGCACAGTTGCCTTTAAAGAAAATTTTCACATTTTAAGTTTTCCATAAATACAAATTTTGTTCTGCATATTTGAATTCGCCGTGTCTAGTGCTTCTCAAAAAAGTTTTGCTCATTTTTTGCTTAATAGCTTAATATTGCAATACAAAATTGAAATTTCGAAAATTTGCAATTTTCTTCTTTCAGATTAGCAAAGTAGAGTCCAAGGGTTTTTATAAATGTATTTGTATCAAAATAAGGAAATAGAGGTGGGGGGGGGGGTCCAGACGTCAGCCTGAATAGGTTTTTTCAACCTTCTTCTCCCCTATTTATTTCAAGGCTATAGAAATGTGAGACAATATTTCAATCCGTTCAAGTTATTTTGAACAAAAACTAACAAGTAAACATCCAAACAAAAATAACATGCAAAGCAGTTTAAAAAAAACAGTGTTGCACACAAAGGATGAGACTGTAAAGACGACCTGAAACTTTCAAAATGATAGATTAAGTTTTCTGTTTTTAATATATTGTTAATTTAATGATTTGGCAAGAAAAGAATCAAGTCTACAATTGCAAGGAATCATGAATATAAGAAAACAGACAGTATGACTCGATGAGTTCTATACAATCTTTTCTCCAGTCTCATTCTTTCTGGGTAACCCCGTAATGAAACGGCTATTCTATAGATGAAGACGATTATTAAAAAAAATTGACATTTCCGACATTTGCGCAGTGTACATTCTAACCTTGTGCCTGATTTCCAGTCTACCAGAGTTAAATGATTCCCCTCCAACCAGACGAACCTGTTCAAAATATAGATCAAAATCATCAACACAAGTATTGCAAATCTGGCAAACTTAAATAAAAAATCCCCCAGTTTATCTAAAGATTGTAATGACAAGAATCAATTTGTACGCAAATAATAGTAACATTGTGAGAGTGATGGTAGGTAACCTATCCTATTATGATAATATCGGTACAAGGATCATAATATTCGGTATAGAGATCATAATGGTCGTTAAAAATATCATGAAAATCGAGATAAAGATCATAATATTCGGGTTAAGGATCGAAATTCGGGATAAAGATAAAACATTTTGGTAAAAGATCACGATAATCTGTAAAAAGATCATGACAATCTGTAAAAAGATCATGCCAATCTGTATACAGATCTAAATATTCGTTATAAAGATCATGTTAATCGGTATACAGATAATAATATTCGGTATAAATATCATAATAATCGATAAAAAATATCAACAAAATCGGTATCAAGATTATCCTATTGTATAAAGATTATAATATTCAGTATAATGATTATGATATTTGTTAAAAATATCATGATATTCAGAGAAAGGATTATGATATTCGGTATAAAGATCAGAACGATCGGTAAAAAGGATCATAAAAGTCGGTGTAACGATATCATTTAAATGGGTATAAAGATCCTGTTATTAAGTAAAACTATCTTGATATTCAATAAACTGATCATACTATTTTGTAAAATGATCATTGATCATTAACCTGAGTTGGTGAATTGCAGTGTAAAGGATCCTCATCAGATCCATCCTTACAGTTTCCTTTTCCAGATATACCATCACATAGATTATCTAGACATATGGATATCATCCATAGACTGTCTAGATATTTAGATATACCCACATAGATTATCTAGAGACATATAGATATACAATCACATAGATTATCCAGATATATAGATATACCATCACATAGATTATCTAGATATATAGATATCATCCATTGATTATCTAGATATTTAGACATACCATCACATAGATTATCTAGACATATAGATATACCATCACATAGATTATCTAGACATATAGATATACCATCACATAGATTATCTAATATCTAGATATATAGATATCATCCATTGATTATCTAGATATTTAGACATACCATCACATAGATTATCTATACATATAGATATACCATCACATAGATTATCCAGACATATAAATATACCATCACATAGATTATCTAGAGACATATAGATATTATCCATTGATTATCTAGATATTTAGACATACCATCACATAGATTATCTAGATATATAGATATACCATCACATAGATTATCTAGATATATAAATATGCCATTCATAGATTATTTAGATATATAGAGTATTCATATATCATCACATAGATTCTCTGTTTATTAGTAAACAGTTGTTGTTTTATTAGAAGTCTTCCAAAATTTAAACGAAAACTTTTTTAAAATGTTATGGAAAATAATGTTCCGTACAATTCTAACCTATGTTGATGCACTCTCCGTTTGAACAATGGAATTGATCGTCGTCACAAACTTTAGCAGTCTCCCTAGTAAATATAGCTCGTTAAATATTCATCACTTTCAGATTTATCTATTAGCAGCTAGATAGATGATTGATTGATAAACATTCAAAGAATTGATGACAAATGTGCTCTAAAAACTTTTTTTAGTTACGTGTTATTTTTACTATCTATTTATTGAAAATTTTTAATCTTCAGATAGAAGGATATCGCTTATTATTGTGATATACTTTGTATCTAACAACGTTGTAAATTTTTTATGGAATTGACGCTTGAAATAACTTTAAAGTCAAAACCAAATATGTCTGATAAAGATACCTGCAGACTAGGCCGACTGCTTGGTCCGGGGAGCAATCTGGTTGCTTTTTTTCATACATACATTCAGATATAGAACTCTCATTACCTGTATTATACATACATTCAGATATAGAACTCTCATTACCTATATTATACATACATTCAGATATAGAACTCTCATTACCTGTATTATACATACATACAGATATAGAACTCTCATTACCTGTATTATAAATACATTCAGATATAGAACTCTCATAACCTTTATTACGCACAAATATATAGAACTCTCATAACCTATATTATACATACAGATATAGAACTGTCATAACCTATATTATGCACAAATATATAGAACTCTCATAATTTATATTATACATACAGATATAGAACTGTCAAAACCTATATTATGCACAAATATAGAGAACTCTCATAACCTATATTATGCACAAATATAGAGAACTCTCATAATCTATATTATACATACAGATATAGAACTCTCATAACCTATATTATGCACAAATATAGATAACTCTCATAACCTATATTATGCACAAAAATATAGAACTCTCATAATCTATATTATACATACAGATATAGAACTCTCATAACCTATATTATGCACAAATATAGAGAACTCTCATAACCTATATTATGCAATATATAGAACTGTCATAACCTATATTATGCACAAATATAAAGAACTCTCATAATCTATATTATACATACAGATTTAGAACTCTCATAACCTATATTATACATTCAAATATAGAACTCTTATTACCTATATTATTCATTCATATATAGAACTCTCATAACCTATATTATACATACAGATAAACTCTCATTAACTTTATTATTCACACATTCAAAACAAACTTTCATTCTACATTTTAAACACATTTAGATATAGAACTCTCGTTTATCATTTTACCTTGATTTTTTTTTGACTTTTTCCAAAATAGCGGTTCAAGTACAATTACATATATTTACAGGAACATTGAATAGATATAAAAAGTACTATTTGATTGATGGTACAAACTATACAATACAAGACAAAAAAAACATTTAATTTCTGTATTAATACCAGTTACAATAACAATAACAAGCTAGGGACGGAGTTAAATAGATTAAAGTCAGATCACGCGCTAAACTACCTAATATCCTATGCCCCCCCCCCCGGTCCAAATCTTTAATCGACGGCTCAAAGTCAACGATTCATGAAGATTTGAATCCGGGATTCAGGATTTAAACCGACTGCAGGAAGTTCAGCGACCTCTCTTATTCATTAAATTCTGGCTGAGGACATAAATAAATTCCTGTTTTTTTTTGAGACGATCTGATAGAAAAAAAGAAATATTCCTGATAAAAATGACCTGAGCATTGTAAACCCTGGAGTAGAATGGTTGTATCACCCTCAACTCCACCCCGGGGAATTATCTAAACAAAAAATGTATTTTTTAAATTTCTTCTGTATGGTTTTAGATACGAAGCGAAACAAATAAAATTACATTTTCAAGACATGATGAGTTCTGTACACTAAAAATTCGATAATTCATTTGAAGTACTCGACTAACTTTCAGGCTGTTAGAGCTAGTTGTACTATACAGCATGCATAGGTACTATAAACGGCAAAACGGTACAGTACATAAAATAAATACATCTCTTGCTCCTGTACAGTACATAAAATAAACCATTCCCTTTCTCTAGAATCAATGTGCCTTGTACGCAAATCAAAACATTATCTAAAAATACATCTCTAGCTCCTGGGGACAGAGCACTGAAGTAAGAATAGATTAGACGAGATTAGACATTTTTTTTCTCCGAAATTGGCAACGCTCAATGTCATTTTTATATCATATGTCAATGTACGTACGGTGTTAAAATATATATTAAAGTTGTCACAACACTTCAGTTACTGGAAATTTGATATTTTAAAATTTTTTTTTTAATATTCGAATATTCATGAATGTTAGATTTTAAATTCTGAAAACTCAATTGTTTGAAACTTTGTTTTTTCAAATATTTTATAAAACATTACCTTCTCTACCCCTAAATTATATCCCAGCTGTTTACAAACAATCTCCCCTTCTCTAGGCGTAAATCCATCATCACAGACTGCTCCCCATTCACCAAACATTCTCACCTATAAAATTTCATTTTAAATTGATCCCCGAGTCTTTAAACGTAATTTCAAGTTACCCGCCATTTTTAAAATCGACATTTTTTCTTAGGCAATTTTTTCAAATACGACCGGCCATAAACCTTTACTTGGGATTATGGAAGATACTACAAAAAAATGGCCCCAACGGTTCATCCGTTTTGACGTTTATTGGATATAAACAACGAAAAAACAAACAAAAATCCCAAAATATAACAAAAAAAATATATACGATTAAGGATTCCAAACAAATTATTAATAATAACAACGTTAAAATTTTTAACAGAGGTCTAGCATTACCAGAAAATAAGCTCAATCTCTGGTCGTATTGTACAACCAAATTAAAGAAAAACATCCATAAAATAATATATACTGCAGTTTCTAGGATGAATATAAGTATTGCTACATGCTACAACAAAAACAATAAATATAACATTGTTAAAAAGCTTTTTAATAAAGAGAAAAGCCGGGTTTTAATTTAAGAAATGTCTTTTACCTCAACCAAATCCATGTTAAGCTTTTTAATTCTTCTTAGCCGGAGCCCTGAAAGCATTAAAAAACTTTGGTATAGCTGGAGCTTTGTTTTGATGGATATTCATAATCCTGAGCTTGATATTCATTAGGGGCACTTTTGATTTGAGAATCTATAAATAACTATATCTTTCTATATCTTCATTTTAGTTATACCTCCCCTATTCAAAGCTTCCTTTAACCCCTGATAGGGTACAATTACAATGCGGGATATCGATTTAATTAATTTGCAGATTAGCAAAAGATTGAGATTAAGCTTTGATCTCTGTATCCATAATACAAGAGAACTAGAGCGCTTTAGTAAATAAAAGACCTCTCTTAGGTACCACGACTCTCAAATCTAAAATTTTGATGAATACCAAACAGAGGTCTGTACTACATAAATAGATTAAGAGTTATATAACAGTTCAAAGTTCACACTTTGAACCATGATGAGAGCAGTATAATACCGAAAATAGTTTTTTTTTTGGAAAACCCCAAAACTTTGGCAGGATGCCGACATGCTTGATTGAGATGGCAATAAAAATAAGTAGTGTGAAATTCACTGTATTAAGGTTTACACCACACAACTGCTATCATGTTTACTGAAGTATTTAAAACCAAAACTCGAGACTGAATGTCGTCTTCCTATTCTATAGTTTTTGGTGTCTCGCTGCTTGATTCACCTTGAATTGGGGCATTGTTGTTAACTCCCCGCCTGATTTTCTCAGTAGCGTTCAATGCATAGTAATTCCATCCTTTCTTCTCAACTAAATAACACATTTAGAAAACTATATAAGATTATTATAGAAACTGAAAGTGTAAGTTCAAGTGACTTTACATGCAACGATGGCCATACCTGATTTAAAACAGTACCCTCCCTTAAAAGCTCGGTTAGATCTAGTATGATACCCAAGTTTTTGCTTATTTCACTTTTGCTTTTCTAGTGCAGGAAAACAATAAGAAATTATTAGAAATGAACACGTGTATAGTCCTAGAGAAACTACAATATATTTCACATAATTGATCAGATGAAGATTTCGAGGGTACCACGGGTTGGGAATCAGACATTGCTATCTTCGCATGTATTCAAATATTTTCTTCATATTTGTAAAATCAAAACATGAGAAGCTTTTCTTTTGAAGTACTTGATATATCTTAAATTACCTATACTATCAATTTGACCGTTTCTATATAGATTTCCCAGAATACATTTTGCAGGTCTATCATCAGTCCCAGGTCTGGAACATAATTCAAATAGATTTTTGGAGGAGTTTGTCTTGTCGGTGGAGTGTTTAGAGTTGGAATTGTCGGTGGAGTTCTCAGACTTGGTTTTGTCGGTGGAGTGTTTAGAGTTGGGGTTGTCGGTGGAGTGCTTAGACTTGGTCTTGTCGGTGGAGTGTTTAGAGTTGGTCTTGTTGGTGGAGTGTTTAAAGTAATTACAGTTAATCTTGTTGGTGGAGTGCTTAAAGTATTTACAGTTAATCTTGTTGGTGGAGTGCTTAAAGTAATTAAAATTAATCTTGTTGGTGGAGTGTTTAAAGTATTTACAGTTAATCTTGTTGGTGAAGTGCTTAAAATAATTACAGTTAATCTTGTTGGTGGAGTGTTTATTGTATTTACAGTTAATCTTGTTGGTGGAGTGTTTAAAGTATTTACAGTAGGTCTAATCGGTGGAGTGTTAAGAGTTTATGGAGTGGGTTTTGTCTGTTTTTGGAGTGGGTTTTATCTGTTTTAGGACTGGTTATTGTCTGTTTGTGGAGTGGGTTTTGTCTGTTTGTTGAGTGATTCTTGTCTAAACTCTAAACGTGCAGTTTTTAAAAGGGTTTGTGTCTGTTTGTGAAGCGATTGGAGTATTTTTTTTATAAAAATAAGATTTTTCGATTTTTAACTTTAAGAAGTTTTGTAAATCTCAAAGAGGTTGTTATGAGTTATTAGTTATAATCGGACAAACGAACCAACAGACAAATAGAAGTTACAACTTTATACATATAGATATATATGTATAATTTGAGATGTTTAAAAATTAAATTACAATGGGGTGGAGTGGATTATAATTTTACGTGTAATTTCAGATTTTTTTTTAAGGCGGGGGGGGGGTTACCTATGCGTAAAAGAGCTGCATGGACCAGTACTGTCAGATTTCTTGTATAAGCATAGCCGAGCGCACTCCTCTTCTGTGGCCTTAATTATAAAGTATATCATATCTTTCTTTATTTATTACTAGCTAAAGTGCCTGGCGTTGCCCGTGAAATTTAAAAACAATTCTGAATTAGATTAGAATTTTGATGAAAAAAATATTTGGAATAACTTACATTTAAACATTTATATTTAAATAAAAATATGAGCGAAGAGCTTTATTATATAGATTTCTGCCATTTTATACTTGTCTTTCCTTCAGAAATCTGTGAATTTAGTCCTCAAAAAACAACGACTAGGGAAATAATCCATTTTCGTGAATGAAAGTTTAGAAAAAAAAGAAGATTGATGCAACATTTTCTAAATTTGTCAGAGTCCCTGTGCTTCTTGGCAAAGTAGTTTTCCATTAATAAATCAAAAATGACATCTTAGTTAAGACGTGTTTTTTAAATCCTGAAAACTATATTTAAATAAAATTATAATTAATTAAACAAAAAGGTTTTGAGAAAATTATCGACTTAATAAGCTAAATATAGTGTTTAATTTTACTAAAAATATTTTCATTCTTTATTATTTTTTTTTCTTTTAGAAAAAAGCATAAATTTGATGAAAAATGTTCAGTTCCGACTCGTTTAAAGAAATAAAGAACAATTTTTAAATGTTTAAAGAAATTTATAAAATCAAAACAATTCTTTTTAAAGTGTTATTCTAATAACTTAAAAAGCTAAGTATTAAACACTAATTAACAAAGAAAAGATTTGATCAAAAGAAAGAACTAAGAACAAATTTCATTTAAAAGGACTGTAAGCATAATTTCAAGTGACTCTCCATGCAAAGATGGAATGCCGATTCACAAGGGTACCATTGAAAGATTTGTCTGATCAAGTATGAATTAGATTTCAATGTTTAAAATTTTGAAAATTGGTTATTTTTAATTATGGTTTTTACACAAAAGTGAATTGCGCACATTTCTACTGCAGAAAAACATGTATTGAAATAATCAGCAATAAACCTAGAAAAACAACAATATCTTCATGCACAATATTAATAATAATATAGGGTTACTTAAAATTAAGCTTACAGTCCCTTTAACCGCGGATCTTCACTTTTTAGAGGAGGGGAACCTGCTGATAGGGTTATAAATAGATTTAAGATAATAAAAAGATTTGAAGTACGAGAATCTAAATATATCAGAGATTTTATGACTGAACTCAGAGGAATGAACAGAAAAAAATAGTTTTTATTTGATTGTTAACTGTAATTCAGTATGTTTTTAAAAGAAGAGTTTTTTATGTTCAATTCTTTAAAAGCTTTAAATACCCCTCCTTAAACAATCCGTTTCCCCCCCCCTCCCCCTCCCCCGGCCCCGGACTTACGCAAAAGTTCGTTAATTAGATCGACCCCCACCCCCACTCTATATATAAGCACACATCTACACAGTTTGTTTTTAATCTTTGTGAAGAAACAATCTCAAGGAATAATAATTGTCTTAAAACATTTTTTTAAAAAGTGAATATTTGCAAATTATCTTTTTCCCATCTCATAATCTGAGTTTGTTTCCCTTATGTCCATTTGACAGCCCAAATTTTTATTTTGAATACTCTTTTTTGTTTGTTTATCTTCTTGTGGTTTTTAACATTTTTTTTTTTTTTTTTTTTATCAATTTTGATGGTTATTATATCGTTAGAACTGACGAGGGTCAACCCAGACCGAAATATATTTTCAATAAAAGTGGAACTAACATCTACTTTTTTACTCTACAGAGGTTTGGTCCATCACCATCACCGAGTTTTTAAATCTAATAAGATTTGACCTTTGATCAATCCTTAAAAGAGTTTTTACCTGAATGGATTTCTCCTGTTCTGCTCCTGTTTCTAACTTATAACCTTCATCCTGGAATAGATAGCACACGTTAAACTAACTATACATCCTGTACTGCCCCGCCTGGTACACTAACTTATACAGTGGCAGACATACGGCAGGGGGCAATATAGTTGGCCTAGCTCTGTAGGCAGGGCTAGCTGGTGCAACTAGGTCAGATCTGGTTAAATTTACATTCACTGAAACGGAAATGTTGATCTCTCATTTATAATCCGTCAGAAATAGCATAAGTGACTTTATGTACTTAATTATTCAACATTATAGCCCAACAAACAAGTATGAAATGAAAAATTCGAAAAATCTACATTTAATGTTTGAAAATAGATTCTAACGTTAGACTCATTGGATTCTTAACAGACCTCTGGTTTATCGTGAACAGGTTTTTAAATCTGCTAATAAATAGAATTATGATTGTCATCTTCGCCTTTTCTTTTAATAAGAAATACCACTGAGGATTTAGTATGTGTAACTGACAAATCTCTGAAAACGCAAAAACGCCAATCATTCTGAAGAAGGACAACCTCTTGTGATTATACAATTCCAGACTAGGTCAGGTTATGATAGATAGATATTCCGAAGACTTTCCGTTTTAGAAGGTGGAGGGGGGGGGAGGGGAGGGGGCTCACACTTTAAAAAAAAAGAGAGCGTGTATTCCAATTTAATCTGGAGACCCCTGTAACATGATTTCCAACCTTGATGAAGAGTGATGATAGTCGTCTACAGTTGAATTCATCCTCTCCTCCTGAACAGTCATCTGAACCATCACAAACATATCCCTGAATCGTTTAAATAGTTAAAAAACAAAAAAAACAAAAAACAATAAATCTTCCAAGATTTAAAATTTGCACTACATTTAAAGAGAGTTAAAAACCGATTCTCAAAACGAACCCACCTAAATTGATGATTTTAACGTCGACTTTGCGCTCAAACTTAGTAATTACAGATCTTTAAAACGTTTTATACGTCTCAAATGAGTCCTGAAAAATATCTCTAAAATACTGAAATCTCAGTTTAACCACTATACATTGCCGGTCACTTCATTAATTAAACATCGCAATATCTTTCTCTAAAAAAATAAATTAAACGATTAAAAACGATTTTGCACTGTTTGTGGATCGTTTCTGGATCGTTTTTTTGCAGATATATCTTCTGTTACGATCAAAATTTGACATAGTGTAAGAAAAGAAAGTGTTTAGAATAAAAAACATAAAACACATTTGGTTTTCTTGAAAGTAAATATATGGAAAAAGAGGGTCATAACCGATTCACTCTACACTTGAAATATTCTCATTAATATGAAAGTTTATCGTAACTCCGTTAGTCCCATTTATAGAGGAAACAAAAGTGTAAATTATTAACTTTAAAAGATGAAAACATGGATATATCATTCATTCTTAAACAAAAATAGCTTTGGAGGGAACCGTTGAATGAAGAATGAAGAAGAAAGATTGAAAAAAAAGAAAACAGACAAAAAGAAGAAATACAGAAAGAAAAGCATGAAGCGTTTTGAAAAACTATTAAGTTATAGATTTTACCTTAAAAATACAAGATCCATCGGGACATTGCCATTCTTCAGCAGGACAGCCGTCTAATAAAAACAATAATAATAATAATAATAATAATAAT